ATGATACATTTTTGCTATAGGAACAATATGCTCTGCAAATGAGAGATCATAGTAAGTTGAGGGAATAGATGGTAAAGATAAATATGCAAGGTGTGGTGACTTATACCAGTAATCCTAGGCTGAGGCAAAATTTAAGGGCAGTTTAGGCTACATAGTAAGTACCAGGCTGGCTAGAATTACATAGCAAGATCCTGTTTCAAACCAAACCAAACCACACCGAACCAAACCGAACCGAACCTAACCAAAGCAAACCAAACCCACAACACAAATCCCAACCCAAAAGATGCTTAGAATATTGTCATTAAACTGTGTGTGTGTGTGGGCGGGGGGGGGGCTCAAGAGTATTAGATCAGTCAGTCATGAATGTATCTGTGGAAGCAGTATATGAAAATCAAAAGTACTTCTTTGGAGTTTGGAGTTAGTTTTTAATTCCAATTTCCTTGCTTCTTTGTAATTGAAATAGAAGCAGCTAATGTAAGATTTCCAGCCAATTTTCTAACAGTATTTGATGGTTTAGTACAATATCTTTTGCATGTTACTTTCTGTTTTGTCCTTTGTGGCCTGACTTCGTCCTCAGTTACCAAAACTGTAAGATTGATATTGGGAGCATTAAATAGCACCTTCAGAGTACTCAGAACTGCCTAGATGTGGTAGAGGTCAATGAAGTTTAGCTCTCTACCATCAAATTTGGCATTTTGTTGTTAGCCTTAGCCTTTAATGGCTGTACTATCCCTCCAGCCCATCTATCATCAAATTTAAAAATTGACTTTTTGATTTTTTTTTTTTTTTTGAGGGAATGGCTGGTCTTTACTTGCTTTCATAAGCTCTTAGTATATTGTGTCAGATAAGCATTAAGAGACATGTGAATGGGGCTGGAGAGATAGCTAAAAGTGCTTGCTGCTCTACAGAGGACCAGAGCACCCTCATCCAGCAGCTTACAACTGTTGAAACTCCAGGTCTGGTAGATCCAACACCTCTGGCCTCCACAAGCATGTTTACACACATGCACATACCCACATACAGACACATAGAAGTCATAGTTAAAAATAATGAAAGCCGGGCGTGATGGCGCATGCCTGCAGTCCCAGCACTTGGGAGGCACAGGCAGGTGGATCTCTGTGAGTTCATGGAGACCCTGTCTCAAAGAGATAAAATAAAATAAAATAAATAAATAAATAAATAATGAAGTAAGTAAATTTTTTTGGGGGGGTCTTTTTGAGACAGGGTCTCTGTATAGCCCCAGCTGACCTGGAACTCTCTATGTAGACCAGGCTGGCCTTAAACTCACAGAGATAGGCCTGCCTCTGCCTCCCAAGTGCTGGGGATTAAAGGCGTGTGCCACCATGCCTGGCTATGAAGTAAATAACTCTTGAAAGGACTTGTGACTCTTGGGTGTCTCCAAAAAAAAGTACCAACATGACAGCAGAAAATTAATTTTCCTTTTATCTTCCATTTTCTTCTAAGATCCAGGTGAAGGGATGGGAAACTCCACAATTATTTAAAAATCTTTATTCTTTTAAAAATATTTTAATTTTATGAATGTATTGCCTGCATGTATGTAAGTGCACCCATGTTGTGCAATGCCCATGGAAGCCAGAAGAGGGTGTTGGAATCCCTGGAACTGGAGTAACACATTGTTAGTAGTAGAGAAAGATTACTAACTCTTGCATTAGAAATTGTATACTTTATTTTACAACTGACTAAAGGTAAAAAGAGATAAAGGAGGATTATTAAGATCATTAACTGCTGCTGAGAAATAGTGTTGGAATATGAATAGTGTTTAGGTATCTTAGAATTCTCTTTAGAGTGTTTGTTTCCCACCTGAGCCCTTGCCTACCATTGTTTTCATATGATCAAAATGACTTAAGGTAACAAGTAGATTGAGTCACGTGTTCTTTTTCCATTTTAAAAAAAGTTATTTTGTGTGTACAAGTGTTTGCCTGCATGTATTTATGCAGTGCCCACAGAGGCCAGAAGAGGGCATTGAGTCTCCTGGAGCTGGAGTTATAAAGGTTATTAACTGCCATGTGAGTGCTGGGAGCTGAACCTGGTCCTCTGTAAAAGCGAGTGCTCTTAACCACTGAGCTATCTCTGTAGCCCCTTTCCTTTTTTGTTTTCAGTTGTTTTGAGTTCATGTCTCATGTAGCCAGGCCTAGCGTAGAACTACTTGGTCTTCCTCTTGGGGGGAACTCCTGTCTAGAATGAGTCAGCCTTGTCTAGAGTACCCACACTGTTTGTGCTGGCCACCCATCAGTCATTCACTAGCGGAGTTATCAGATTAACTGTGATGGTATCATAAAAGATATTCAAATATCTCTTATTTTACTTGTCATTAGTGATGCTTGTAATTCTGTTACCATGTTAATACATGGTTAATACATAATCACACTGTTACTTGTCTTCCTGTGCCTAGATTATACAATAACCCTTACCCCGTGTATAAGAAAAGTATAGTGTATAGGGTATAGTATTGTTATTTGTTCGAAAACTTTGTTTAGCTTTCTTCTTTTCTGATGCTCTGTTAACAGCAGTGTTAGGTATTTTGTTGGAGTCACTGAGGTCTTTAAGGATTTTTAGAAGTATTCTATTTAGATTGAGTAATTTCTGTTGTTGAATCTTAAGTTTATTAATTCTTAAGAGGGAAAGTTCTGCTCATGTTAGGCCATTCATTCCCCAAAAGTTTTTGTGGTGGTGGTTGTTGTTTTTTTGTTTTTTTTAAAAATTACTTTGCATAGCAATTTACACTGGGTTCTTTATCTTCTGTGTCTCTGGAGAAACTTGGAGGTTCATTTCTTTCAAATGTGTTTGTAACTGCTCCGGTGAATCATTTATGGTGACTGCAGTCAGTGTCTGTTGCCTGTGTAGGCTGGGGTTTTCCTTGTTCTTGGTGGGGGTTTTCAGTTGTATCATGGGCATTTTGGTTGGTGTGATGCTTCTAGTTCTTTTTAACATGTTGGGGTTTTATTTGAAACAGGTTGGTTCAGATACTATGTAGGTAGGGAAGGGGCACTCCCTAATTCCTATAGGAAGGAAAAGAAAGTCCAGATTCCTAATTGGACACTTTATCAGTGGTAGGTACTTTGTGGTTGCTCATTGGGGATAGGATTTCAGAATCCTTATCAGGCCCTTTCCAACACCTCCAGAATGAGAAAGGTGGCTCATTACTTACTGAGCATTAAAAGTTGTATTCACAAAATGCCATAATGAAATGTGTTACTTTGTGTATAATTTAAAAAACCACATCTGAAGACTTAACAATAACAGTAGCAAGAAACAGATGTCCCTCTCCTTACCCGTAAGAATGAGAATCAGAACCATGTCTGCATACACACAAGTAGAATTGGGGAAGGCACAGAGACTTCAGTGAGGGGCTGGAGAGATGGCTCAGCAGTTAAGAGCACTGGCTGCTCTTCCAGAGGACCTGGGTTGGATTCCCAGCATCCACATGGCAGCTAACAACTGTTCATAACTCCAGTTCCAGGGGATCTGACACCTGGCTTCTGGCTTCCATGGGCTTAGCATGATCTGGGTATACTTACATACATGCAAGGCAAAATACTCATTCACACAAAAATTAAGAAAAGAAACAAACAAAAAACCTAGAGAAATTGGAGCTTATAGGCTTGGCTAAGCAGAAGCTACAGGAATCCAGGGCTGAAGGGAAGGAGCTAGGCAGCTCTCCCCACTCCAGTACCACAGGGCTCCAAACACACATCACCCTGCCCCCACCATCTCTTGTGCCCAGCCAGCAGCAAAAGAAAAAAATGCAATTCATCTTTTGTGTTTGCTTGCTCACATTTCCTAAAAGCTCTGCAGGTCCATGTACTGAAATCGGGTCATTATTGTTTAAACTGTCTTCTTAGCCATCCTTCATAACTGAGTGGAGGTGTAAGGCGCTAATCCCAGGGACAGAGGGTGGCCAGTGTGCAAGAAGGAGCAGAGACTTAACAGTTGCTTCTGGCTTTCTCTCTTCGAGGGAATTCCTCATCCAAAGGGGAATAACTGCAATCCAGATCCCCTTCACTATGACTTTAAGGGGCCCTTGGTACCCTTTTGGTTAGGGTGTACACAAGCCAACCAGTATGGTACACACTCTCAGACATTTAGGATCTTTATGGCTTTTGTGGTTCCTCATTTTGAGGTAACAAAATGCCGCTTACAGAAGTTGAGGGACACCAAATGCTCAGGGTAACATAACTAGTTATCATGCTGGTTTCCCTGGTTACCAAGCAACCAAACAAATCTCACCAGTAAGGAAAAGTTATGTACCCCTGTCCACAGAAGAGCTACCTTACAGCTACTGTGGAGTTCAGTGAGGTGGTCCAAACTGCCCTGTCTTCCTTGGATAGAGTTACTAGTTTAGCAAGCTCCTTCTGTGAAATGAACTAAGATGGCCCATCACCTGACATTATAGGTCAGCCATTGCCACAGCAGGCACTGCAACTGCCACATAAAGGTGACTGGGCCATGGGTGCCTGCAGTTGATGGATGTTATCTACAATCACCAGAGCCATAGCTGTGGATGTGGATTAGCTCTAGAATGACCAGTAATGGTTTCATTATGGCATTTTCAGATGTGTGTATCATACTTTGTCCTCATTTGTTCCTGTCTCAGGCATGTTTTTTGTGAAGCTTAAACTGTTAGAACTGGACTTAGAACTTTTTAGTTACGCCATTGAGACACTAGGGGTGACCTGATACTACCTGCTTTATTCAGGTTTATTGTGAGAGTGCAGGTGGAGATAAAATCAAATGTTGTTATTTTCAATTTTATTACTGAGTTTTCTTAGGAATAGCTGATCTCTTAATGCCTTTTAAAGGAATATACTTAGTTTTAGACACACCCTAAATATCACTTTCATCACAGTTTTCGTTTTCTATCCTATTAATGTATTGCCACGTTACAGATTTTAGCTTTAACACAGAATATTTTTGGTTTTGGTGGTCTTTTGTATAAAAGTTATGACCAAAGGTAATTCCACTTTTCTTTTCCATAACAGACATATGTAGAGTGTGTCGGTCAGAAGGAACACCTGAGAAACCGCTTTATCATCCCTGTGTATGTACTGGCAGTATTAAGTTTATCCATCAAGAATGGTGAGTCATTCAGAAAATTTTGTAATTCTCAAGTTCAGTTTTGTCATCCAAGTAATAACAGTGATAATTTCAATGAAGTTTCTCTATTATTTTGAATAATAAATTACTCTCTGTCCTTACTATCAGGTCTGTTATTTTGGTATATTGTGAATACCCTGTTGGTGTCCTGTTGTTTATTTCTAACATGGAGAACTTGCTTTGTTCATGGAAAGAATTACACTTTTCTTGTTTTGGGTGGCATACCCATAGCTTACATTTATGAAGTGCTCTGTGCTAAGAACTGTTTTTTTTTTTTTTGTGCTTTACATGCCGTAACTCATTTAATCTTTGCAGGGAAAGTGTGGCTGTCATTACTAGGCAGATGAAGAAACTACTGCAGAGACTGTTAAATAACTTGTCCTAATGTCATAGCTTGCCAGTTAGTGATGGCACTAGAGTCCAGACTTGGTTGCTAGGTACCAGTGTTAAGGAACCATATTAGAACTGATGCTGATGCTTGGATTACTTAGTATTCATTTAGCACGAAAGAGATTATAATTTAGGTTAAGTAAATGTTTTTATTAGTGTAGTGCATACTGTTTGTGTTTAGCTGTTTTTGGATTCTGTACTCTTAGAAGGCACACATAAAAAATTAAAATCATTCTAAATTTGTAATGATCAAAATTATAAAAGCTCTAATGCGTAAAATGTAGTAAAAATATGTTATGCTGCTTTGTTGTGAGCGCTGTGTTTACGAATGTGTTTGTAATTGCAGTTTAGTTCAGTGGCTGAAGCACAGTCGAAAAGAATACTGTGAATTATGCAAGCACAGATTTGCTTTCACACCAAGTAAGTTCTTGTGACATTGCTTTTCTTTTTGTTCTCCCTGGCATGAAAGACGTGAGCAACGGAAGCAGTTATTTCAACTTCATGGTCTTTGGTAGTAAGAAACAAGTATGTCATTTAGAAGGGTATTTTTAAGAACTATCATCTTTTAATGCACACATGAATTTATGTATGTATGTATGTATGTATGTATGTATGTATGTATGTATTTTTTGTCTTTTTTAGGTAGCGTCTCCCTGTAGCCCCAGCTGGCCTGGAACTCAATATGTAGAGGAGGCTAGCCTTGAACTCATGAGATCTGCCTGCCTCTGCCTCCTGAGTGCTGGGATTAAAGGCGTGTGTCACCATACCCAGTCCCGTACACATGTATGTTTTACAGGCTGCTCTTTTTTTCCTTTCTTTTTCCTCACAGACAAATTCAGATGTGTACAGAGGACCATGAGCCCATGTGATAACCACTCACTCAGTACTGCTTGTATTTCAGTTCATGGCTTGATTTCGTCTGTGCTCTCATTCCCCCTCTCATTTTTAGAAGAAATCCTATCATTTATAATTACATCTGTACATTTTCAGTGTATCACTAAAAAGTTAGTGTTCTTTTAAAAAAAGAACATATAATATTGTTGATCATCTAGAAAAACTAATAGTGATGCCTTGATTCTACCAGAATCTAGTGCTATTCAGATTTGAACTGTCTTCTGAATAAGAGTTGTGTAGGACAGAATAATAGTAATAAAGACAAAATTTAAATCACCTTTTATCATGAAACTTTTTTTTTTTGCCTTTTTTTGAGACAGGGTTGTAACCCCAGCTGGCCTGGAACTCACTATGTAGACCAGGCTGGCCTTGAACTCACAGAGATCCACCTGCTTCTGCTTCCTGAGTGTTGGGACTAAAGGTGTGTGCCACCACACCCAGCTCGTGAAACTTTTTTATGTATAGTGTGTGTGTTTATGTGGGTGCATGTGTGTGGGCTGTGTACACATGCGCACATATGTGTGGAGGCCAGAGATTGATGTTGGATGTCTTTCTTGATCACTGTCCACCTTTTATATTGAGGGAGACTCTTTAATTTGGACCCAGAACTCCCCAGTTCTGCTGGCCCAGCTAGCCAGATTGCTCTGATTATTCCCCCTCTGCTTTCTGAGTGACAGGTGCACCCTGGCCCTCAAGTCCACCCACATTTATTTGGATGCTGAGGGTCCCACCTGGGGCCTTTGTGCTTGTGTGGAGGTTACTTTACCAGGAGCCATCTCCTCAGCCCCAGGAAGCCTACCTTTTTTTTTTTTTTCTTTTGATACAGGTTGTTACTATGTAGCCCTGGCTGGCCTGGAATTCACTATGTACAGTAGTCTGGCCAAAATCAGCCTGCCTCTGCCGCCTCAGTGCTGGGATTACAGGGTGTGTCAGCATGACTGAAACTTAACTTTTTATATGGACTTAAGCCTAATGTCTGAGAAGTGCCCCAATATGTAGCCCAGGCTTGCCTGAAACTTAGTACATAGCTCAGGTTGGCCTCCTCCTGCCTTAGCTTCTCAAGTAGAGGGATTGCAGGTGCAAGGCAGCATGCTCAGCTA